TGTAGTACTTCATCTTCAGATGGACGGTGGAAGGTACCGCAGTGAGTTCTGCTATCGTTGTTCTGCCCAGGATACAGTTGTAGAGGGATGGGCACTCGATGACTAAGAAACGAATGCTGATTTCCTTGGCCGTTTCCTCTTCTCCGAAAGTGACTTTCAGCTCCACGTACCCCCAAGGTCTCGTCGTCGTCCCGTTGAACCCCTGAAGGTCGGAGCCTACGTATGGGGAAAGGTTGGATTCGTCGAGTTGGAGGGTCGTGAACAGGTGGGTGTACATGATGCCCACCGAGCTGCCTCCGTCAACGAGGATGCGTCTGACGTCGAAGTTCACCATCCGCGCCTGTATGAGCAGGGGGGTGTTAGAGTTAGGGGATCCCCCGGGGAGTCCCTCGAGGTAGAATGTGATCGGATTGGATCGACCGCGGAATCTTTCGAGCGTGCTCATTTTTCCGGAGTTGCTCGTGATAAGCTCGTCAAACTTTCTTTTCACTGATCCTATGGACAAGCTCCTTGTGGCACCACCCGAGATGACCATGGCTCTGGCGAAGTATTCCCAACAACTGGTTGGCCGGACTGGCTCGCTGGGTAGGTCGGGGCCTTCGGGGAGGCCGAACTCTCTATCCGCGAACCAGTCCTCGGGGCGGCTGACACACAGCGCGACCTGGAGTCTGCTGTCCCCGTCGGAAGAGGGGAGCTCTTCAATTTTCTTGGCCTCGGGGGCCTCTTGCCTCGGGGCCTCACCCCCCCGGGCGTATCTCTTTAGGTGGTCATCTTTAATCAGGATTTCGATCGCGTCCTTGAGATGGATGCATTCTTAGGTCACGTGCCCGTGGCTCCTGTGGAATCGGCAGCATTTCGATTTGTCCACATTGGGTTTGGGGGGCGTCGGCCGGGGGAAGCGAACACCTCCCTGGATAAATTCGGTTTTGGCGCACTCGGCCAGTATGCGCTCGCGGGAAGCGACTAAAGCCGTGTATTCCGTGAATCGGCCGGCAGGGCCGCGTTGTTCGCGCTGTTCGCCAGGGCGATCTTCCCGACGACGGTCACCTCCCCGCCGATGGCTCGAGGCTCCGTCATCTCGGTGCCCGCGGGGGGCCTCCCTGTCTCGGGTGTCTCGTGCGGAGTTGGCTGCTTGGGTTTCCTCGAATCGTATATAATGCGCGACTCTGTCGAGGAAATCCTGGAGGGAGGTTGGCCGGTGTATGCCTACGGCCTCATAGAACTTGGAGTCGTGGCGTAGACCCTGCTCCATTAGGTAGCGCTTCATCTCATCTGACGTCGTTACCTGCACCGCTTCCCGGGTGAATCTTTCGATGTACTTTCGGAGAGGTTCGTTGGGGCCTTGGATTATCACCCCGAGGACGGCCTCTGTCTTCGGATGGCGCCGAGATGCTGTGAAGTGTTTTGAGAACAGGTCCTTCAGGACTCTCCACGACGTGACCGATCCGGGCTCAAAACTTTTGTACCACGTCATGGCGCCTTTCTTCAGGGACGTCGGGAATAGCCTGCACTTGATAGCTCCTCGGACGTTTCGGTAATCGAGCATGGCCTCGATGTCTTCCAAGTGATCATCTGGGTCGGATGTGCCGTCGTACGTCGATAGCGTCGGGGGCTTTTCCATCCCGTGAGGAATGGGGGCGGCCATGATTTTCCGGGACAACGTAGTCCGGTATCGTCTTCGTCGCTGAGAGCGGGTGACTGAGGAGGAGATGGGCCGTTTAGGATAGGCACCTGGTCTCGGGTCCTCGGCCTCCTGACCGGGGGTTCGACGCGCGGGTTCCTGGCCGGGATCGCTGAAGTGTTCTGCCGTCTCCCGCGAACCTGTCTTGTCGGGGATCTGGTGCGCTCTCGCACCACTTCTGTTCGGGGCCTCTCCAGCTGAGGTCGGCAATTTCTGGGTTGAGGCGAGGGACTCCTCGAGCCCCCATTCTGGTCTCCCCGCGGAGGGGATCTCGGGGGGCCCTCCCGCTCCAGCGCTCCAATTCGTGTGTTTTGCTGAAACAGCAGCTGGTTCGTCTGGTTGATGGCCGCGAAGAGGGCGGCCACCGTTGGGTCCGCGCCTGCCGGTATAGGAACGAGTTGGAACACCGTCGGGCTCGGGGGCCGGTGGTCAGCCTGGCGTATCGGTTCTGCGAACGACGGAGAAGCAGTTTGGCCGTCCCTCTCGTCGGTCTCCGCTGGGCGTGACGTTTCCATCTGCTTGCTGCCGTTGGCGGCGGCATTGAGTACGGGGTCGTGCACGGTATCGTCGTGGTGTGGGCTAGCCATGATCGTGGAGTGCTAGTGAAACTTTGGTTTTCTGCTCGGAGTAACGGGGAAGTTTTTGTTCCCACAGACGACGCCACTGATCTGACCTGATCAGAAGGGGATCACAGGCTGGCCACACTCTGTTGGACTGCTACCTGTTCACCGATGATGAGGAGGAGAAAGGGGGATGTACCTGCAAGACACTCCGATGCCAAAGTAAGAATTTGGGCAGAGTGAGAGCAAAGTACAGAAAAATGGGTAAGGAGTGAATTACCTGACCCTCTTGAGGAAGAGGGTATTTATACAGAGACCCCAGCGCTGGGCCAACGGTCACTTGTGTTGGGCTGGGTGGCCGGACCCAACCCAGGTGACTGCTAGAGCTTACGTGGCGTAGTGAAGACCAGGACGTGGTCTTCGCCCTAGTCCAACTGTCCCGTGGTCTCCGGAAAGTGGGTTTGACCTGCTCTTTTAGAGGTGGGCAGTTGGGGGATGACGTGTCCCCGCGGAGGGGAGCACGTGGAGAACGTGCGCATGGCACGTTGTTCTCCCCGCGGATCCCCAGAGGCACGTTGGTCTCCCCGAGGAAGGGAGCACACGGGGACGTGGAAGAGCCATGGGGTCTTGCTCGACAGCATAAGGAATACCGCCCGCGGAGGGCGGTGCTTGGTCGTGTGGGCGATTCTCTTGCCCGGCGTGGTCGGGACGGTTCTCCTTCGCGGGGAGATCATTCTAGCATGTCGGGGATCTTGTGCTCGGCGCGGTACCCAGACCGGGCAGGGTCTGGTGGAACATTATTGGGTTGGGCCAGCATAGTTCAGTCCGGAACCCAGTCCAGAACACTTATCTTGTAAACAATCTATGTATAATGTCTTTTATGATTATGTAATATTTTTTCTTAGAATTGCTTATAAGTTTTGTATGGAGTATGCTCTACTTCAATTGTCTCACATAAATGTATGAGTTTTACTATAAAAAAAAGGTTTATGCTACCACTGATACGAAATATTGTCTGATTTAGGTGTAAAAATCTTTACGACTTTATCATTTAAAAAATATACCACTGATATGAAATACTGTCTAATTTGAGTGTAAAAATTTTTACGGCTTTGTCATTTAAAAAATACACCTCATTGATTTGAGGTGTATGAATGTTATATATAAAGTATCCCAATCTCAATTCTTAAAGCAATACAAGACATCTCAATTCTTAAGCAATACAAGACGATTTTGCCCAACCTAAAACAACGTGCACTCCAAAAATATTCACATTCACCTTACATTGAACATAGAAAATCTCATCAACCTAAAATAATAAAATCATGGGGTGATATTTAAGAATAGAGGAATATTCTAGTTCTGAATCTGAAATATTCTTAAATAAATAATAAAAGTATTATAAATTCTTAAAAATAAAAATTATTGAGAAAATCTATTAGTATTATAATTATTATAATTATATAAATTAGTAATAAGCAATAACCATCAACTCCAACATTGACCTTGTCAATCAGAGTTTTCCCCTCTGTTTATTCAGGGTAAAAACAAATAGAAGAAAACTAAATCCGCAACAGTTGGATAAAAAAGTGCGATGCAGGTGATGATGGTCTATCCAAAAGACTTGGCGTGTTGGTGAAACCAGCTTCACCAAAGTTCCTAAAAGTAGAGAGAGAAACAAACAGAGAGAGAGAGAATCAGTTACAAAACGAACAAGAGTGCAAATCCATTTCGCCATTTTCACTCATTTCAACTAAAAGCGATGAACTTCTAGCTAGGTTAGTTCTTCCAATTCCATCCTTTCACATTTCGAATCCACACTCTCTCTCTCTCTCTCTCTCTCTCTCTCTCTCTATGATTCTTCATCACATTCCAATTGTTCTGTTCGTAAATCAATTTTCATTGTTGACCTTCACATCGCGTAAATTTTCCGATGAAGTAGTTCATGTGGTTTTTGTAAATCGATCGTAGTTTATGCGATTCCTTACGAGGAGAATTTCACTTTCATCGCGTTGCTTGAATTTTTATATGATATTGTATGGTAAAATTAATTGTAGATTCAGATGCAATGCAATGACTGTTTTGCTTTCTTCTCGCTTTTCCTCTTTTGTTTCTTAATTTACATTGACGGTGGAAATTGAATATCCTTGTTTCTTCATAAGAGATCTCTCAATTTCGATTCTGACTTATGTGATCTAATATGTCTCACTTGCCTGATATCCTTTTGTTGCAACCGTTTTCGCACTCTTGGACCGCCTTTTAGAACCTTGTTAGAAATATATTTAGATATAAGCGTTTTGATTTTGTTAAAATGCTAACAATGCTTTTTGTTGATGGCAATTTTTTTTTTTGTTACTTATTTATTTTTCAATTTTATTGATGTGAAGTACTTATTAGATTAATTTCTGAATGCATGTATTTAATTTAATAGAAGTCTAAAATAATCTTGGTTGAATTAACAACATTTTCCTTCGCAACATGTTTGTGATTTTTTTTTTGCAGGTTTACATTTTGCTATAATCTGAATGATTCGAGGCGGATAGTTTCAGAGTTAATTCCTCCAACTTTTTTCCATGAATCTACCTTAGTGAATTTGTGAAGATTGAAGAATAGTTTCTATAGATATATGTATTGATGTTTGTATTTAGGTTTTATGTTTTATGTTTTTTTTTGTGTGTTCTTATTTTGTCTTTGCATTGATTTTTGTACTTAGTTGTGAGTTCATCTTGCAGATTACTTGTCTGCAGAAAAGATTCAAAATGAGTTGGAACCCGCACATGGAAGTCCATTACAATAACATCAGCTATCCTTATAATACAGCAGGAAGCTTTATTGAATATTTTGAAGGCCTGACCTACGAACATGTTAACTTCATTTTTTCCGGTGCATCAAATGCTCAGGTGCCTGCAAATTTTTTCACACACGTGTATATATAATGCTTCAATTTGATGTTTTTTTTCTTGTTTTATTTTAATGTTGATCTGTTGGAAAGACTGGTCTGTGTTTCATTATTTTACCTGGAACTTTTATTTTATTATTCTTTTGATATTAGTAGATGGATGCTAGAAAACTTATATATTACTAAGTAGAAACATAAACTTACAATTATATATGCAGGAGAGTCCGTACCCTTTGAATTCAAACTTTTACAAATTTGGACCATCTGAACCTGATAATACTTCATACTATCGCTACAATCATGGATATGAGGTAAATCATCATGAGCCACTGGTGGATGATTATAGAAGGCCTTCAGAAAACTCTTCAACAATCAGTGAACAGAGTCTGGCTGTCAGCACAGAATGGGGAGAAGATGGAAACACTGAAGCACAAGACAATTCTATTGAATGTATGTTCTTGAATTTCATCTAGAAATAATTTTCCTAAGTATTATCGGGCCTTTAATTAACTCAGAACAGTTAAAACAAAAAATGGAATGTCCCACACATTGTAAATAGTTAGTTACAATTAACTAAAATTTTGGTTAGAAGATGCCATTTCTGGGTATGCTTAAGTTCCTTGAAAGTGGAATGCTGCTCACGTAACCCTTCCACACTTTTGGTAAAGCTTGATTCCTCTGTTGGAATCCAAATGTTTGAGAAAAGTTAATGGAGTTAGGTGCATTTGTTAATCCACCAATGTATTTAGATTTCAGCTTCATGGTTCATGACAAAGAAGTGTACTTGCTGATGTTAGTATAATTATGGTATGCCATCATTTAGCTGATCCTTGCCAATACTTTGTTCACCGGAAGACAGAGAGAATAATCAGTTAAATGAGCTGTCCCACTTTAATAGGATGTCGGATATTTTTTATTCTCAAAGATAAAAGATTGTGAATTCTATTATTGCCTTCATTGATATTTATCAAAACCCTCCTTTGCAGAGCCTTTGTTTGAGATTTTCTGATGTTTTTTTTTTTATAGAACACATAAAATGTTTGATCTCAGTTTAAATAATTTTGTCTCTTTTCTTGCAGGCCCTCGAAGACATCATAGTAATTCCAATGATTCTCAGGTATTTTGTGAAATGGTTAATGCTGAACATCTAAGAAGTTTGTAAAGTTACCATTATCTAATCATCATTGAGAAACACAATAAATGATTATCTAAGCCACTTTCTATGTTCTGCAGGTCATTTGGCAAGACAATATTGATCCCGATAACATGACCTATGAGGTTGGATTGAGATTCTTAAACTCCTCTTTCTAGGCATCATGTAGTATTTCCTCAAAGTACAGCTATTTTATATTTGATTTTTTTTTAGTTAATCTTCTAGCTATATTCAATACCCAATCTCATGTTCATTTGATTATACTTCCTCAAAGTACAGCTACTTTATATTTGATTTTTATTTTTTTTATAGTTAATCTTCTAGCCATATTCAATACCCAATCTCATGTTTGTTTGATTATACTCTGCCAACTCCATCATTTTTCTATGCCTTTCATTGCCTTATACTTCACTCTCCTTCCTTGTACTTGTATGTGTTGTTCTAAATGACAATAGTTACTCTTAGAAACTATTGTTTAGCTAAATCATAGTATAAAGTTCTTACAATTCATTATATGCCCTCACGATCTTGATAGTGTTACATTACTTATTTTAATTACAATTGATAAAATCCATAAGGTTGCTTCTAAATCTAATGCCAGTCTGTTACTTAGTTCACAAGAAAAGAAAAGAAAAGTTATTAAAGAAACATTTATGTTAGTAAACTGTCTCATGGATGCACATTTGTTTTTGAACTGAGTGTATTAATGAAAAAGAAGTAAAGACTCATTATTTTTGAGTTGCGTATTTTACCTTTTCCAACATTAATATCCTATTATCATGTATTGCAGGAATTACTTGAATTAGGCGAGGCTGTCGGAACTCAAAGCCGTGGTCTCACCCCAGAACAGATCTCCATGCTTCCAGTTTCAAAGTTTAAGTGTGGATTCTTCTTCAGGAAGAAGTCGCGGGAGGAGAGGTAATATTTGGGTTTTTACCGCATTGGTTTTTTTCTTCCATATTCACCTATTAGATTTATTTTATAATTCATGTGTCTAGTATTCAAAATCCTTGTCTTCTTTGTCAACTCTACTTATTGTTATAGGTTGGCTAACTGTTATCAAACTGTTCTGTTTTCTTCTCAGTCCAAATTGATCTCGAGGCATTATGTATTGCTGCTATTAGGCTCATTCTCTGGGTTAATTTTTGTCAAAAAAAAAGACTTTTTTCTTTGCTAAAGGCCGGTAAATTCTTGTGAATTAAGAATGCATACTTGGTTAATTTTACTGGTTTGGATACATATATGAGATAAGGTAGAGCATTATGGCATTGCTTGATCCATGTATCCAACTCCACCTTGTGGGATAAAGCTTGGGGCGGTCGTTGTAACTTAATTTTACCATCAATTTTAGTCCTACAATCTATTTTAGCCTCTTTTATAAACTGTGAATGAAAACAAAAGTGTGTAGCATCGCCATCAAATAGATAATGCATATGATTATGTGTCTTGTTTTTTTATGATCTAAATATAGTATAATCTGGAATTCAAAATGGTCCAGATGAGTATTACGCCTAAGAACTCTGGTATATGTCTTTGTGCATTTTAGAATCAGAACTTGAGTCCTTTCATCCATTGTTTTATTTATTTATGGAAGGCAAATTACTTGGATCTTGCATTGTCTTGCTATAGTATGCTGATCTGACTTATCCTCTTGTTTAGATGTGTGATTTGCCAGATGGAATATAAAAGAGGCAACAAGAGGATCACTTTGCCATGTAAACATGTTTATCATGCTACTTGTGGGACCAAATGGCTTAGCATTAATAAGGCAAGATATTACTTCCTCCGTTTTAAAATGTCTGTTGTTTAAAGTTTTTGCACACAAATTAAGGAATACAATAATATTGTCATAAGATATTGCACTTTTATTAAATTAGTCTTATTAATGTGTGAAAATAGTGTACAGAGTAATAATTAAATGACACAATTAGAAAAATAGGAATGTATTACTATATTGAAAAGGGAGAATGACATTTATTTTGAAACAAATTTTTTTCCATAAAACGACAGTCATTTTGATTTGGAGGGAGTACCAATTTATCATAAACTCTTTAAGTACTTGTGATGCTTATTTTCTATCTGCTGAAATGCATATTCTTATTTTGTATGCTGGGTTTGTTGTTTCAGGCTTGCCCTATATGTTATACAGAAGTGTTTGCCGACAAAACAAAACAAAAATAAAGGGCAAGGGAATGTGTAGCCTACATATGTTTCTGTTTCTCGTAAAGGGGTTTTTTCATAGAAATACATTGATCTGTTTCTTGGGGTAAGATAAACAATTTCGTTGGGTTTAGTTGTAATACAAAAATAGAGTAGTATCCCAAAGTCTTATAAAGAATATGGACATGAGTCATGATTGTGTTGGGGAAGCTGGATTATGGTTTGTTTTATTTTGATTTATACAGTGTGCTATGATTTCATGTACCTATTATCACCAGCTGCTGATATAGTGTTTGTGTTGGAGAGCCTGGAATATGAAACACGCATTCATAATTTATACGAAAGTTAGAGCTTATTAGACTTTGCAGGAGCAAGCAATTCACTTATACATGGTTCACACTCAGCATAGGCACTGGCCAACTTTTGACTTTTTTTCACATGTTCTGGCAAAACTTCGTTTTAGCTGACTGCAAACTTAAGTTAAATAAAAAAACGGTACAACCAACCGGTGTAAAAACATGTAATAAGACGATGTTCTCATCCATAGTTATGGTGAAAGTATGGATAGACACGAGATGGCTTAAAGGACAACAAAGGTGGTTGGTTATCTATCTACGTTGTCAATAGCCCGCCTAGCGTGGTGCCATGGCCCTCACCGCTATGCTATAGTTTTCCAAAGTGCAACCGTCAATAGTAATCATAGTGTAGCCGTGAATAGCGGTGGTGCTATAGTGGCACACAATTGCAACGCAGGGTCATTGCGGTTTGATGGCTGCTGCTCTTAGTTGGGGCGAGTTTGTATACCCTAATATTTTATAAGGATATACCAGTCTTTCTGCCCTTTTACTTACCTCATTTATCCTACGTGTTATGCTGCTGCTTCTTCTTCTTCTTCAGTTTCACTGTTTTTTTTCTTTATTGTGCTTCTTCAGCTCTCCACCGTTTTTTCTTTATTTTCTTCTTAGTTTTCGCCTGGCATTATTTTCATCTCTTTGTTTGTCGTTCTTCCATGCGTTTACACTATTCCTTGTTCTGCTTCACCTTTTCTCTTTGCTCTATTTCTCATCAAACGTTTGTAATTTAGTATCATGGGCATTAATTATATGTCTTGTATCCGAAACGTTTTGTAGTTTGATCTTTCCACGTGACCCTATATTTCGGGGCAGAAGTGAACTTTCTTAGAGTACCCGAGTTTCATGAAAGGATTAATGCCAAATCAGGACTATTGGCGGTGATAATGTGTTTTCCTTGATCTTTGATCGCTGATCTTGGGATTGCTTGTTGCAAGTATATAAAGGTCAAAGGGTGGATATGATTTTCTTTTGGTCCCCTTGCTTGTGAAACCCTGCAGATTTTCATGTCCTTCCTACTATGCTCAATCCCACGCATTTATGCTCTTCTACTTCTCAATTTTGCTCTCTGTTCCAACGACCCTCTTAGCATTTAGGTAATTCGAATTCCTTGCACATAAAATGATAGTGTTCTTGTAGGTAACAATTTTGACTCTCTTCTCAATAGTTTTACTTTGTCGTGCGTCATTCTTGGAGTGGTTGTCATGGAAAGCTCAAAAGTTGATGTTATAAAAAAGGGAGGCGTTACTGACATACTTGATATTAAGGAAATTTTCAGAGACTTTGTTTTCCCATGTGCCTTTAACAAATCCAGAGTACGTGAGCAACTTTAAGCAAGAACGGAAAACTCAAACTTATATTAGGATGCATCAACATGCTTTCGATTGTGATCCAACTAATAATGAAGTAATGTAATGGGTAAAATTTCAACCGCATGCTTATACTCATAGTTGTTCTTTTTATTTGTTGGTTGTGATGCATGGATGGATCGAGGCACCAACATACCGACTTGGAGTTCAGAAATGAAGATCAATTATCATGGGTGGATCAAGAGAAGTTTTACCAGATTTCGGTCTTCGTCCGACAAAAAAAGTTTAGACAACACTTTCATCGAGATGTGTTTCTCCTCCAAATGGGGGGGTTCTCTCCTTAGAAGCTGATAAGAGATTGTGCAACAGATATGAGGGGTTTGTTCTTCCTTTCCATGAGTGCTTATTTTTCCAAATATGCCTATAATATTCCTTTAATAACTTTGAGGTAGAAGTTCTCATCCACGTGGACATTTCCTCTTCACAACTTCATATAATGAGTTAGGCTTATGAAATTTTTTTTTAATACTAGTGCAAATATAAAAGGGGTGTGTCGAATCTGACGCTCTTCTTCCACTTTTCAACGTGTGAAACCTTATACTGCAGGTAATATGCTTTTAACAAGGACAACAATTTCTGTTGAACTTTTGATGATGACAACTAATTGTTGATGACTCCAATGTCTTCCAATAAGTCAACCATAAGTGATTAAGCGGATGAATATGCAAATCTAAGTATTGAGGTTTGATGGACTTGACTATCTGATGATTACAACCTAAATGAAATATAAGGTCAAGCCTCAAGTGAACTCAAGCAAGTGTCTGTTAGAACAAGATTTGTTCATGACATATATCCTTTGGGTTTTGATGATAACAAAATATTGAAAGAACAATGTGAAGGTGTGAGAAATACACAAGAAAGGGGGGGGGGGGGGGGGGGTTTGAATTGGGTATTCCACTTATTAAAACTTTTTCTGGGTTTCTTCACTTGTTGCTTTCTATAGAGTTCTATAAGATGCATTGCGGAAGCATAAATAATAAAGCATAACACAAGTAAAGAACACATGATATATCCTGGTTCACTTGAACAACTCTCAAGCTAATTCAGTCCACCCTTCCAAGGTGATTTCGCCTCACTCAAGCAAGGACTTAATCCACTATAACCAAACTGATTATAGTTGCACAAGCTAACTGCAGGTGACTAACAAATAGACAATGACACGTTCAGGGATCCCTTAGGATATAACGTTTATTGACACCTAATAGAATCCGATCACAAAAGATCTCCTATTAGGATACCATAAATGACAACCGTCACTTGTCATCTCAAGTATTCTGATCTTCACAAGATCACTTGAGGAACCACTAATTCTAAGTAGAATTTGTGTTGCCAGAGATTACATGAGTGCTTCTTATCAAGCATATTACTCCTAATTAAGTACATAGCAAGTATTGAGCAACAACTCCTTGCTTCCTAATATAGAAACTAATCTAAAGATAAATCTCAATGAGATTATTAGAACAGTAGTTTACATATTGCTTAAAAGCTTTCTTATGTGAGCATTGCGCCTTCTTAGCATAAAGTTTTTCTTGTTAATCAACTATGTTGCTAACTTCACTCGTCAGCATCATTGCTTTGTAACAAGTTAGCTTGCTTTGTAATGAGCTAACATTTGAATGAATCAAATGTTCTTACTTTATAGTGCATTCAAAAAAGGCGTTGTGAGGGTACAGATGTCCGTTCAAATATTCCAATGGTCATTTTCCAACGGATAGAATACTCACGTGTTGCATAGTACTGACATCAATTTCTTTTCCTTTTCTTGCAACATTAATATATCATTGTGAGAGACAGATCTTATCCACAAATGATGTGATCTTCATTTATCAGCTAGGACATATTAGCTTATGGCTTTGGTTCTTCTGATGATGTATCTGATGAGTAGTTCAGAAACTACTTTGGTATGATAGCATAATAACATCAGAGTCTGACTTTAGCACTATGTTTATCAGAGTTGATAGCAACAACTCATCCGATTAACACGTCTTTTTTTGGGTGAAGCTACATAATCTTTATCTTCAGAGTCTTTCTGCACTTGGTGTTCAGAGCCTTCAGCCTTCAGAGCTTCAAGTCATCAGAGTCTTCAGCACGTAATTCTTCAGAGGATTATATCTTCAGAGTCTTGATCTTCAGAACTCTTAAGTCTTCAGAGTCTTTCTGCACTTGGTCTTCAGAGCCTTCAACCTTCAGAGCTTCAAGTCATCAGAGTCTTCAGAGCTTGGTTCTTCATAGGACTATCTCAGATGCGTTGATAGCTTCCATATCAGATACACTTCTCAGAGCAGAATCCACAAGAGCATTGCAACTGCAATATACATCATCTTTGGATCTTTCTGAGTGTGATCAGATACAGAGCCATACTTGCTTCTTCAATACGCTTTGATTGCTTTCAGATCAGATGCACTTCTCAGAGTAGAATCCACAGGAGCATTGCAACTGCAATATCCAGCATCCTTGGATCTTTCTGATTGTGAACAGATATAGAGGCAAACTTGCTTCTTTAATAAGCGCTTTATGTCACGTCACACAAAGTAATTCCATATTGTATTTAATGCACTTCTTGATATTGTTTGTTTGATCTGATATCTTTATTTAACGATCTGCACACAATAAACATTAAAACATAAAATAGTTCTTTCACAAATACTTAATTGTTATCATCAAAACATAAAGATAACATGCAGAGACAATTCTTGCTCTTACAATCTCCCCCTTTTTGATGATTACAAAAACATGTATTTTGATAGAACATTTTATACAGGTGTCGCGGTGAAAATCGGATACCAAACTATTGATTAGTTTGAATCTTTAATTCATTTTGCAACCGAACTTTGATTTGTCCAAAGAAAGGGATAAAGATCGAAATTCCCACAATGCAATGCAAATGCAAGGTTTAGAGAGTTATAGGTTCGGGGGTTGGTTAAACTTAGGGAAGGTGCTAGCATCCTAAGTTTCTGTAGTACTCTACAGGAACCTCTTGTTTTATGTTGTTTATTGCTAAGGTTTATCTACTTAAAGGTATAAAAGACCTAGGGGTTTATTTCTAAGTATACTCGATAAGATGTCGCATCTTATGCCTACATATCCTTACGGGAGTGGAATCAGAGTACTTTGTAGTTCTCCTAAAGGGTTTGAGGAGTTCTTTGACTGTGGTCAAAGTTCCTACGGGTTTAGGGTAGTTGGTTGATTGAGTTTAGGAGAAGAGACGAGTTGTCACTTTAAGGGAGATTTAACCGCCACAAGTTATAGGAAAATAGTCTTTGCATCGTCTTAAGAGAAGGGCTCAAGTACTCGGATAGGG